AGTTCATGACTATGTACTTCAGAATGTTATATTCCCCAGAAACAAACCTCTCCCTGATTTTCTACTCTTAGCCATTTACCCAAACAGTGAGGAGATGGGATAAAAACTCAATAATCACAGGGAAGGATTTGAAGATATGTGTTTGAGAACATTCTCAGAGCTGTCCTCGTGGACAAGACCCATAGATACTCTTCTACCCTAATCACAGTAGAATGAAAGAGGCCCTCTCATGACAGGCATTAGAGCCCAGGGGCTGTGGTCAGTTCCAGTGTGATTCTGAGGTTGGCCTGTCAGCCATTCTGTAAGTCCTGGATTAATCTTGCACTGTGGACCTCGGCAGCCCTCCAGCCCCCACTTCTCAGAAACCCTCTGGCTTGGACCCTCTGTCAATTTTTTCCAGCAGGCAATCAACAGGGCTCCCCCGAACATGCTAATTCTTCTTCAGCTGATGTCAGGCCCCAATGGATAGGTTGAACCCTGGGTTAACCCACTATATTTCTTGAATGTTCCCCCCTTCCTCTATCCTGACATCTTTTACCTCCTCCAAATTTCTCAGGGTGAGCCCCTAAAATACAATTCTCAACTTAAAGAGGAATTTGAAGTTACTGTAGATGTGTCTATGGAGCTAATAGAAATTCATGTTCTTTAAGAATAAAGGGAGGGAATGGACACTCAGGGGGTTGCCTCAGTGATGTTTCTTTTTATTGGCTGCTATCTCAAATCTCTGATTTATTGAGAGTCACTTCACTCATCTATTCAGTACCCTTAGGGATAACCCTCTTCTCTCATTTCCAGACTTCTTGGGAGAGGACTCTCCCCCTCGCCCCACTACTCTATTTCTTGTTAAAGCTGTGAAGTTTCCTTTTCACTGATTCCAAACCAACGTGCCCCATTCTTTTTCTATGAAAAATAGTAAAATGAGGAAAATATTTCTCCAGCCCAGCAACATGTTCCAATTGCTCCTCAGAAGACAGACTCCAGTGCAGAAAGGCCTTTAGTCTATTCCACTTAGCTTCATTCCCTTCATTTTTAATCTATCTCTGAATGATTAAATGGAGTCAGCTAGCCTGAACTTGGGAAACTATCATATTTTTTAGCTCACTGACCTGTCATTAAACCAACTGTGTATGTAGCATTTTCCCAATTACATATTCTTAGTTTTTTTTAAATGTTATGCATTGTGCAAATCATCACTTGCCCTAAGCGGTGTCTTTTGAGAAGAAATATATTATTTAATGTATATAAAGACTCATAGGTGAGAAGGACCCAACAAACTCATTATTGCTTTTCTTTTTAATTGATTGATACCCTAAGCAGTGTGTGATTGCAATTGTGGCAGTGATAATAACTCATCCTTGCAGTAACTCAAAGCTGCTTAGAACCTTTGTAAAGACTGGTTTCCTATACTTGTAGGCAAATGCCTTGAAGTTTGTAGGCAAGTGGCCATGAAACCTCTCTTGTTTAAAACACCATGACCTCCCAACCCTCATACCCAGAAGGAATTTCTGTGTAGCAAGGCCATATAATATGTTGCTTCTGAGGCTCTTAGGCCAGTGTGTCTGGGAAAGCTTCAGGCTGGAGGCATCGAGGAGTATTAATGTGCAGACGTAGGATCTGTCAGGAATACGAGCTGTGGTGCAACACAAACCACCTGCAAGGCTTGTGATGTTTTTTGAAACAGAGTGCCGGAAAGAAGGGGCCCAAGGCCAAGAAAGGAAAACGGGGCTGTGGATTTGTGTGTGGCTCAGAGCACAGGCATGGTAATTTGTACTGTCATACCCTCCCCATGCCAGCTGCTGCTTTGGGTGTCACAATTGTGTGTGTGTGTGTGTGTGTGTGTGTGTGTGATAGACAGACAGACAGACAGACAGAGAGAGAGAGAGAGAAAGGAAAGAGAGAGAGAGAGAGAGAGAGAGAGAGAGAGAGAGAGAGAGAGAGAGAGAGAGAGAGAGACTAATGGACTATGTCAGGTTAAGGCGTACTGGATTTCTATGCATGCAAGAAAGGGAGTAGAAAGGGTCAGCATCTCCAGTAAAATCTAGAGGATGAGTTTGCACCAGCAGTGACTCTCCCATAACTTTTTAATCAGGGTGTAACGAGTGGTTTCCAAATAGTAACACAAAGCCATGCAATGAGTTGCCAGGACATAAGCTGGGTGCCCCCTTAGACCCTGGGAACTGTAAATCTGGAAGGCAGGCAGATAGTCTCCCAATTAGAAGGCTAAGATTAGCAATCTCTCTTCTGAGCTTGCCAAAACTCACAGAGATGCTGATAGAGAATTGGTAGCAGATCCACTGAAAAAAGGCAGCCATGTGCCCATCAGTGTCTGTGTTTCTGTGGTTAGGGAGCATGCAACTGAGTGATGAGCTGTGCTATTTGTACCTCAGCATCTCTGAGGAAATCCTTGCTACAGCATGTCTTCTAGTCCAGTGGTTGGTTTCAAGAGTCACAATTTAGAACTGATTGTTTTTTCCCCAATCCTAATTTTTGCTATATAACCCTTGCATGCAACCTAAATCTAGGGGAGTATAAAAGTGACCGTCTAAGTAGCCACTATTGGCAAAATCCTGGAGTCAGTGAATGCACTTTGAAAAAGTTCAGAGGAAAAAAAATGTATGTATGTATGTATGTATACATATATTTGGAGTCGCGATCCTAACAGAAATTTCATTCCAATGACACAGGAGTAAGTTCAACAGTCTCTGGAGTGTTGGGACAATGTGAACATTAACCAGACTGGCTTTCCCACCTACTGCGCCTTCAACATGCTTTCTCCCAACACTTCTGCATTTCCTCCCATCTCTCTTCACCTCCACCAGGCCCCCAAGGCCCCTTGCACTCTGGTCCTCATGAAGGATGTCCCACCTGGCTTCCTATCCTGGCTGACGAAAACCTACACAGACAGGAGAGAAGGAGCTAGATGAGGGGTCCAGGCGACACCTAGATGAAAAGCACAGACTCCAGATCCCCTGACTGGTGAAAAGAGTTGACGAGAGCAGTAATTACAGAGTAATTAGCCCAGAACTATGTGTGCTGTTGGATGGATGCACTCAAATGCTTCCCACCTATTTTATAGTTTTACTTTATTAACTTTAGACAAGGTCCAGAGTAGCTTAAAATGGCCTCAAAACGCTCTAGATAGCCAAGGATGACCTCTCAGGACTTCTGAGCTCTATCCTACATTTTCTAGCCTTAGGATTATAGACATTAACTCTGATACCTGATTTATATGGTGTATGAGTTAGAATATTCAATATACAGATATAAGATTTGTTTACATATATGACTAAGACCCAAAAATCATAAAATAAAATGTTTATTTTAGACTCAGAAATAGTGTGTTACTTGTTGTTTTTAGCATCCATTCATAACGACTTTGTTTTCAGAAAATCCATGTGTGGCACAGGTGGCCTCTTGCATCTCTTATGATTAAATAGGTACTAGATAAGTTTGAAAATGTCTCATCTCCTTGAAAAGCCATGTGATTTTTGAGCAATGGCCTTTTCAGAAAGCCTTCTTAAGTAACTGGAGAATGAAAGTTAAAGTAAGAGTGACATGAAGTCATTGGAATCTATCACCTTTCAGGGTTCTGTAGATAACAGCTGGACAGATTAAGGGTTAGGACCTTGCCTGGTACTAAATACCCATGTGATGGCCATACTGGCAGGTATTTGTCTACTTTGGGGCTTCAGTTAAAAATGAGAGGATATGACTATGTTAGTTCCAAGTGACAATTACCAGCCTCATTGGGCATTCTTTCTTCCATCATTGAAAATACATTCTTCTCTCATAAAATATATTCTGACCACAGTTTCCTCTCTCTCTCTTTACTCTTCCCAGTTCACTCCCAGCTCCCCTCTTCCCCAGTCCTACTCCTCCTCCATTTTCTCTTCAGAAAAGAGAAACCTTCCAAGTGACAACAACTAAACATGACAAAATAAGATATAGTAAAACAAGGCAAAAGTCCTCATATCAAGGCTGGACAAGGTGTCCCGATAGGGGAAAAGAGTCCTATTAGGCAAAAAGATTCAGAGCCATGCAGGCTCTGTGATAGCGTCTTCATTCTCTGTGAGCCCACATGAACCCTGCTTAGTGGATTCAATGGTGTCCTTCATCACTTCTGGCTCCTACAGCCTTTCCTCCCTGTCTTCCACAGGGTTTTACAATCTCCAAGGAAAGCAACATAAATGGAGACCTCCAACTTAGACTCTCTCTGCATACTGTCTGGCCGTGGGTCTCTGCCTTCTCCCATCTGTTGTAGGAGGAAACCTCTGTGATGACAATTGGAAAACCTTGGGACTGGCAAAAATAAATGAAAATAAATCAATGAAGTGATTAATGACTCATTCTTTATAGAATACCTTTAAACTATTGGTTTGTAACCTAATTCATTAGACAGGCTTCAAGGACCTTAGCAGTGTGTGTCACATAGCATATTGAACTCTAGAATAATGAAATTATCTATCTATTTGCTTGTCCAGGTGGTCTTATGGGTTTGGACTGTAAATTGCATTATATTTTTCTATGAAATTGTTGGATGTGTCATCAATGCCTAAGTTATATCATGTCTCAGCAACTTACAGAAGGAAGTCTGTTTTGGCTCCACTCAAATGCTAAAGATGTCTCTGTAGGAGCCTTTTCTATGTGACTATTCTGTGATGCAGAAGAGAGTCCAATTTTTCCACCTTTACATCTACTCTCAGAGATACTAGGAGAGGGGATGTGCTGATGTTTCAAATTTTCTTTTCTCAGATTTGCTCTAAAAGCATGACAATTTTCAAAGTCCCTTGACCACCATCACATATCTCTGCACAACTAGGTATCAAGGAAATAAAGTTTATTTCCATCCAGGAATAAGAATAATCCTCAATATTAGTTACCTCTGAGATTCATCACAGATCATCATCTTTGTTAGCCAGAGCAATAAGCTGTGTGATGTCACAAACCTTGCTTATACTCAGGGACAAGAAGTTAAGAACTTTTGAGGGGTTCGTGTCAGCGTAAGTGGCCATGAAACAGAAATTAGCTGAGCCTTGAAATATGAAGAACTAGAGTAAGGGAGCCTCTGATAAGAGAAGACACAAGAGTGTGTCTTAGAAGAAGAAACAAATCAAGATGTTATCCTCAGACTCACTCCAGGTGAGTGACTTAGCATAGAGAGCATTTGTGAGAGTGTTAAATGTCTAAGAAAGTCAAGTGAAAAATCTAAAGAAGATGATTAGGCAAAAACCTCATGAAGAGATGCATCCATTCAAGTAGTAGGGACACATGGTTTTCTAAGAAAAGCCTTGAGATCCCAGTGCTTGGATATTGATGACTTCTTGAAAACTATTTCTATCAGGCCTGGACATGGAATTAGAGAACTTTTTGTTTCTGAAAAAGTAAGGATTATTGGAATTGAATTGATATTCAATGATAACTCATCATGTTCTGAGTAATTTCTATAATTTCAACCAATGACTTCAAACATGTAGCCACCAGAGTCATGGAGATGGTAACATTTACATCCCCTGGCGGGGCTCCCCCAGGTTTCTCTGTAGTCACTGCACTTTCTCTGCTTCCAGACCCAGTTTTGTTTCGTGTCCTGATACTCTGGGCTTATTAAAATATCAGAGACATGTAATCATGCATTGCATTACTGTCTGAATATGGCTCTTTTCTTTTAAAATGCGGCATTTGTGATGCATCGGTGCAGTTATGTGCCTCAGTTATTCAGGTTTGTTTGTTTGTTTTTTTTTTTTTTTACTGCTGAATACTATTCCATTAAGCAAATGTTCCTGTTTGTTTACCATCACCAGACAAGTACCTTTGGGGTATTTCCAGTTCAGGGCAATAATAAATAAAGCTGCAATAAATGTTTCCAGGTTTTTATGTGGATGAGTATTTTTATTACTTTAGGTAAATACTTAGGAATGGGATTGCAAGTTAAATGTTAAGGGGGTCTTTAGCTTCTTAGGAAGTTGATGAATTCAATGCCAAAGTGGCACAGCTTCTTCTCCATTCCAGTTGCTCTTTGATTTCATGATGTGTTAAGGGATTTTAAAGGTCATAATGTCTAATCCACATATATCCTCAAGTTTCACAATTTTACCAATGCTTACTCTATATTTTTTCTTGTCATTCTGAAAGTGCCAGGGTAGGTAAGATGCCAAATTTAGAATTAAGGAATCTGAATGAGGCTATATAAATCTAAGCTATAAAAATCCTTTAGCTCAATTGCTTTATCTGAATAATGTTACACCCATGGCCATAAAGGGGAATCTTGTGATTGGGAGTTTGAATTTCAATGTCAGTCTTGTGTTAGAATCTTAAATTGTCACTTAATTTCTGTGACATCAGGCAAGTTACTTATCCTACACGAAATTCACATAAAAGGGGATACTTCATGGACCAAATGTAATTATTGAATGAGGTATATGTAAAGCACTTAACAGAGTGATCACTGCAGGGTGAATGCATCATAAAAACCTGTAATTGTTGTTACTGACAGTATTATTGCTTATAGAGGACGTATGCCTGAAAGCACCCAGCAAATTGCCAAATACTGTGTGAAGTAAAGCATCTAGCAGCCATTAAAATTAGGAATCTAAATATGTAGAGGGATATTATCAGCCCCATCATTTCCCACATATCTTAATTCTCAGTCTGGGGACTTTATCTGGCTCATGGTATGGCCTCGTGAAAGTCTTCCAGAGGGTCCTGATATTATTGGGAGAATTGGAGAGATGTCTCAGTGTTAAGAACCCTTCCTGCTCTTCCAGAGGACTGGAGTTCAGTTTTTAGAAACCATAACTAGACAGTCACAACCATCTTTAATTCCAGCTCTAGGGAATCCATGCCTTTTCCCTCATTGAGCACCTATATTATCATGTGCACATACCCTCCCACACACCTACAAATAATTCAAAATAATAAAATAAATCTTTAAAATATACCCTCATGTAAATAGGTCTTGCAAAGCCTTAGCACCACCCCATTCTTTTCCTCTGCTAAGGCAGAAGGAGGAAAATCACATGCAGTCCATGCCCCAGAATGAACTATGGGTAACTATTGACTACAAAGGAGGGAGAATTAGCCACTCCAGGGAAGAGCTCCATAATTCCTTATGCCACACAAAATGGTCACCTTGAAATAGTATAGACAGGACAAAAACACCTTCATCCAGTTGTAGTTATGTTTGTGTATGTATGCAGAATATGCATATGTAGCAATAATAAAGAAAAAGAGGCCAACGATTTGAAAAGGAGATAAACAGGGCATGAAAGGGATTGGGGGGAGAAGTGGATCTTTTTATTTTAATTTGAAAATATATTAAGTAAAAATTGGAGAATTTATGGGCGTTGATGGCTCACGCTTTTAATCCCAGCACTCAGGAGGCAGAGGCAGGCAGATCTCTGTGAGTTTGAGGCCAGCCTGATCTACAGAGTGAGTTCCAGGACAGCCTCAACAACAATACAGAGAAACCCTGTCTGGAAAAACCAAAAAAATTGGAGAATTTATGTGTTTGTATCAGTAGTTTTTTTATTTTAATAAAGCTAGATTTACTTCTTATTTTGAGGTTTTCTTCATCATCTTTTTAAATTTTATCTTTAATTTTTATAAACAATTAGGTCTCTGGAAATCCCAACTACAAAATCATGTGCTCAAGAATATGTTAATTTTTCATTTAGTTTATTTTTAATTCTTCACATCTTTTGTTGTGCCCAACAAACCATGTTTGCATGTATCTTTTTATTTCCTTCTTACCTTTCATAACAGCATAGTACATTGTTGTGTTTTGTTTGCTTTTCACTGTTGTTTCACAAAGACCCAGGAAATTAGTGCCCTCTACCTTGTTTTTCTATAGGTTTCAATCCTTGGATACTGTGGCTTTGCAGAGAAAGAAGTGACTTTTGAAGCCTTTACCTGTAGGGAGGGCTCAGTGCAGAATTGTGTCCTGTAAGTATTGCATGGATAAAAGGGACAACATTGATTTTAACTGAGTATTTACTAGTGAGTTCTACGCTAATTTTGTACCTGCTTTACAACCTTCAGACTGAAGTCTGCATACCCTCTGCCCCACACCCCCCCATCTTGCATACAAGCTCAGTTGCTTCTTTTGTCTCCAGAGCTCTTTTGTAGCTGCCACTCTGGACGAATGGCATAAGTCTGCTAACATAAGTCTGCTAACCTTTGAGAACTTTAAATTCCGTTTTGGTTGTCTAACATTTCCTTTTGGCATTTTATGTCTTGTCAGTGTTTGAATGCATCGTTACTAGCATGTGATTTAATGAGATTCCTATCATTACCCCCTGTCACACTACATTGGAAAGATTATTTCTGTGATAACAACTGATGCACTTTTAGACTACACTGTAACCATGGGGATACTTTTAGTCATTCTTTCAGATTTTGAGTTCCCAAGTCCTACGACTCCTGCTTCCCTCCAGCTCCAGATTAAAGATGGTTTTGAGTGACATTCTTCCATACTGCAAATCCTGTGGCCCATTTTGCTTGTGTGACAAAGTGTCTATGTAGGCTAACAACTCTCAATTTTGAATTGTATTCTGCATCAGATTCACCACTGACAGGAAGGGGGCACCATTGAACAGCTTGTGGATTCTGTAACTGGGTGTTGAAAGAGCTTGGATTGTTCCAGCTGTAACTGGAACAATCAAACTATTTGATGCTCCACACTGAGAGATCCATTTACTTAGCATTTGACATTTGAACTGAGGATGCAGCTAAGAATGCTTCCCCACACCTCTTTGCAAATCTATGCACCGTGCTAATTTTTATTCTTATTAACAAGTGAGTTTTTGAAAGCTAAGAATATCGATAATGAAGAATAGTAATAGTTGATAACTGCATGTGTTCTTGAAGTTTATCAATGTGCAAATACAATGAGTCTTTATGCGTATGTGCATGCATATATATTGTGTGTGTGCAGGTGTGTGTGTGTGTGTGTGTGTGTGTGTGTGTGTGTGTGTGTACACTGCAAAGTCTGGGAGGAGGGCTTTCTTTGGATAAGCAGCAATAACAATAAGAACAATTGCTTTCTCTGTGCTGACATCATTAGCTGTTTTGTATCAAGGTTGTGCCTGAATATCAGGGGGCGTAATGCATGAGAGTGCTCATAACTCAGGGGATCTTCAGAGACCACGTTAGCTTTGAGAACAGAGTGATGTTAATGCTCACATTGATTTAGTGTACATCTACCAGAGCTATCTGACCCTGCTTTTGAGGCATTGGATTTGATCTGATTTTCTTGAACTGCCTGAGCCTAACCTCACAAGGCAGAAATGGAGCTTGTTACCATTAGATGTAAGCGCAAGCTACTCTCTAACTCCAGTCACAGAAATAAGTCCTGGGCCGCCTCGAAAGTGTGTAAATCTCTAGCCAAAATGAGAGAAGGGGGAGCCATGTGAATTTAACCACAGTTCGCAGGAGAATGGAATTTCCAAACAAACTTTTATCTCTTAAAACTCCTTGCTGGGGATAGTTATAAAAATGAGTGTGAGAAGGTGGCTGGGGAATCTATCCCTTCAGATTCAACAAAGTGTTTCCTCATCTCTGCTTCAAGGGCATTTTCCAAGGAACCAGGAGGAGGCAGCTGTGTGTCATCTGTCCATCCAGAGTGTTACTCAGCTTCCTCTAGGGGTTCCCCATCTGTATTTCCAACCACTCCACTTTTGTCCCTGTGACAGTACAGCAAGAGGAACATGAAGGAGGCCTTGGAGGACAGAGTGTGTGTATCTGTAGAAGCAAATCAGCCTGGCCTTTTCTCTTTTTGTCCTGCATAGAAAAACTTCCAAAAGCCAAAGAAAAATGCCTCTCTATCAGTGAACTGCCTTGTGGGTAATACCATGGGGATTGGCGCTTAGAATGAAGCTCCAGGGTGAAAATGTTCAGTGTGACAGACCATACTGGCCAACTTAGAAGTGACAGAAGTGGCATTACTTTGAAAGTCTTTCTTCATCTAGCTCTCTTCCCATTCTGTCCTCTTGATCTAGAGTTTTGGTTTTTTCCTAAACAATATTGTTTATGTTGCCATCGCATGGAATGAGAAATAGCATAAAATGTTTCTTTGTTTCTTCGTTGGATCTGGATGTAACTTTGTGCCTCCTTATGAACAAGTGTCTTCTGTGTGAGTTAAGAGCTTTTGTAGTAAATGCATGGCTTATGATGGACTATTTAACTCCCATTCTCCTGAATCTGCTTATCTTGAAATAGTTTTCAGCACTTTTGAGGAATTTGACTCAGTTTATTTTAGCATAACTGTTTTTTTCACACCCAGAAATGGATTGTTTATGTTCATGTATCTCTTCCCATTTAAGAAATCATATTAGTAATCAAGAAAAGCCTTTTTTTAAAAACAGAAATTTCTTCTTTAATTTAAATACCGGCAGCTAAATATGGTTGTTTAAAATACTTACAAATATCAGATACAAATTTCCTTCAGATACCCTTAAATCCTGGTCACTTTACATACTAGGAAGACTTATGACTCAATGAACTGCACGCTGATGCATAACTAAATAAGTAAATAACAGGAGTGAAGACCAACTGCTGTTTAACAGCTTCCCCTGTTACATATACACTTTCAAACAAGCATGAAATGTAGGTCTCTGGACATCACTTAAAAGAACCACAAATAAACAGTGTGTGATCCCATGCTCCTTTTCCTCCAGGACAGCCAGGGAACATGGCTGGGAGTTGGGGTAGTGGTTGCTCTTCCGTCCAGGGTGCTCTAAACACAAACACATCTGTCCACAGGCTCAAGGTCATGCTGCTGTTGACAGATGCAGGGAGCTCAAGAAAGTGAGGAGGCCAGAAGTCTCTGACCCGTGGACCATTGACTCACCTCACCTTCTATTGTGCAAGGAATCACACTCCAGTCTCTTACACTTCAATTTCAACAGTGGTGCCAGTTAGTCTAGGAGGTTGTCAGATTTGCTACTAGTTAAGAATAGCACTCTCTCTCTCTCTCTCTCTCTCTCTCTCTCTCTCTCTCTCTCTATCTATCTCTCTAACCTATAAGATGGATGTTAAGCTCTGATCTCACCATTTTGAATCAAACTATTGCAGTTTCCCAGAAACAGTGCTTGGGCAAGTCCTACAGAGATGAGACTGCAAACAGCCACTCCAAATCTTCTGGGTTTAACTTTTAAAAGGTATCTTCTAGGTTAGTACAGATGTGCCATCACTACTCAATTCAGTGAGCAAACCCCAAAGAGTGTTGTCATTGAATGATCAAATACGAATTAGGGATATTAAGGGATGATTTTCCTAAGAAGCATTTCTGTGAGGACTGGAAAGGGATAACATATATACAAATTGGTGTGAACTGAGACCAAGATATTTAAATAATGAAGTATTTTTGTTCATTTAAAAATACAGCAGTTATGCATTAAACACATACACACACACACACACACACACACACACACACACACACACACACACACTTGCTTCTATAGTCAAAGAAGGGCAGTCCTTTTAGCCTATGACTCCCCTGGCAGAAGAGAGCAGTCTCTTGATGTGGAGATAAATTATTTGTGTAGAGTAATGATAGGAAGTGTAGAGGAGCTAGGAAAGAGAAGACAAGTGGTGATATACTGTGAACCACTCCAGATCTAACCCCAGACAACTGCTAACACAGTTTGTTTCTTGCATTGGAATTGGAAGTTGCTTTGAGTGGGATCTAGCTTTAGACAATGATGAATACTCCATTGTCAGATTAGTTTTTAAGAAATGGTTGTATAAATGTCCACATAGAGGTACATGTGTGTGGTGAGTATTGCAGAAAGGTCTGTAAATACCTGCACGACTGGTTTCCAGAAAAGGGGAGATGGAGAAACGGTAGGAAGAAATGTCCATAATCAGTCAATTTGCTGTTATTGATTTGTTAGTATAAATGATCTAAGTGGTCTATATGATATAAAATGGTATAATAAGAAATAAGTGTCGCAGTTTCCCTCAAATTATCTATCTGAAACTTTGTGTTTTTCTCTCCTCACAAGTATATGGAGCAATACTTTGCAATTTTCTGAGGGTAAATATTCTAGAAAGTTTTATAATTTTAAAATTCTAGAAAGACTTCTTAATTGCATTGGTTGCTAAATATATATCAGTCTTCCAAGGTTTTCCCCTTCTTCCCTGAGTTTTAAATCATAAAATGATACGTTGAATACATCTGAAAGAAGTTTGTATGAAACAGAATCCATATTTAAAATCATGGTAACCAATAGTGACAATCTAGTTTGACAGCTGTAATGAAATACCTTAGGCTTAATAATTAATACATAGAAATTGTCTCACAGTTTTGGAGTATGGGAAGTTCAAGATCAAAGAACTAGAAAGTATAGTGTCTTGTGAAGGTTAACCTTCTCTTTCACTGATGGAGCCTCTTGCTACATCTTGATGTAGGAAATGGAGGATCCTTTACCATCACTTGGTGGAAGGAGGGGAAGGAGGAAAAGTTGACAGCTTCTCTGAAGCCCCTTGTGAAGAGACTAGGCCCATTCTTAAAGGCCTCCTTTCCTAATACTATCTTTTCAGTGTTAAGTTCTAACTTGAAATTGGAAGGATATACATATTGAAGCCATAGCAATGATCTTATTAAAATGATTAAGTAATGATGTGAGAAATGATGGTAACACCCTCTGAGATTGGCTTGCCTAGTTTCAACCTTCATGTTAACTCATGAGACTGTAGCAGGCCCACAGAACAGGGTTGATACCCTCTAAGATAATTGGACACTTGATTGAATAAAGATTGCAAGAGGAAGTCAAAACTTGCTATGGGAATTTATTAACTTAGAAGGCTAGCGAGGCCATGGAAACTGGCATTTAATACTCCTCATTTTTTTGACCTGTGTAGGCAAATGTTGCCCATTTTCATGTTGATCAAAAAACACTCCAATCTTATTTTACATACCAATCTCAGTTGGTATGTAA